TGAATCTTTTTTTTGCAACCAGGTAGTTGTCTGGCCTTGAACTTGACTTCAGTGAACACGGTTTTCTCTGAGTGACTGCTTATTTGTAAATGCAAATCGACTCATTCTCCCCACTGAGTGTGCTCGAGGACAGACAATGTCTGAGCGATTTATGAATGACCAAGATAACAGACACAACAAAGGGACGATGGAACGGCTCAATACATTTTCTCGTGTGCTCAGATTGTAATTTATCATTGCCGCTGAGTAACGACAGCCATCTTAATGCTGTTCRCTTGTATCATTAACACTGAAACATTTTGCTGTGACTGTCTCACAACCAGGCTTTCTGAGCATGCTCAGAACTCTCTGACAGGGTGACTCTTAGACAGGTAGTCTGATGACAACGGGACTTTTCAAACGTGGCAGTTGGTGTTAGAGAGCTCTCTTCTTCTCCAAGTGGCAATTTATGAATACAACAATTTCAACAAACCCATCGAGCTCTCCTACGCTCTCTTGACTGCAAAACACCCAGTAACCATTGTGCTCCAAACACTTGCCCGTGCTCTCCTCCCACTCACCCAGTCACCTGCGTCGCTACATTAAGCTCTGGTTTGACAATTATGAAATATTTCACCACGAGACATCGACTTGGAACAAAAACACAGAACACTCAGTAATTGTTTCTTTTTTTAAATAAACTGTGATCTTGTTTTAAATCAGGTTTTCTGCCAAGCACGTTTGTGGAAACAAGTAGATATTTATAACTAATTTAAAAAAGGTCATCTCATAACATCAGTAAGATATTTTTATTTTATGCACAATAGCTTAGGATGCTGTTATTTGTGACCCACCACATCAAACAGAGGATTAAGTCAACAACTATAGTGTTTTTGTTCAAACCATTTTCAACCGTTGCATTATGTCAAAATACAGTGAAAAAAAATACAACATCTGCAGGTTGTTTAAGCAAAATTTCCTAATTATATTCAATTTTTTTGAACAGCAGCAAGAAAAAACATGAATTTGAGGCAATATATATATATA